AAAAAAAAAAAATACGTGTTCCCTAATTAACTTTCCTCTTGAAGTTTTAATAGATTTTATTTCGATCAGATCAAAACCTATTTTTTTACAGCAAGAAATTGGTCGCTTTGGGGTATTTCACCCCCTAATTTTCACTCCCCTTCCAACATACCTAGGCCAATTTTTGTCTTCTATCGAAAGATACTTTCATACCAAAAATCATCAAAATTGCTTCACTGATCTCGAAAATATCGCAATTTTTCCATTTTACTCTCACACTTTAGGGGGTTGTTTCATACCCTAAGTATGTTTTACCGCAGCTTACCCTAAATATGTTTTACCGCTCATACCAAAAATCATCAAAATTGCTTCACTGATCTCGAAAATATCGCAATTTTTCCATTTTATCCTCACACTTTGGGGGGTTGTTTCATACCCTAAATATGTTTTACCGCAGCTAAAAAAAAATACGTGTCCCCTAATTTTCCATGTACTATAATATATCCAAATTTCATGAAAATCGGAGAGTGACACTTGGGTAGGTTTACTTGTGAGATGAACAAAAAAATGTCGATTTCCAACGCGATTACCAAAATTACGATGACAATAAAGCGAATAGAAATGCAAATTCGTCGATAGTTGTGAAAATTGCAAATTTCGAGTGAAATTAATAATGGAGTAGCGTGGCGAGAGAAGTGCGTCGGCGATAATGAAAATAATCGAAAACCGCGGTAGGTTACGTAATTCTGGAAAAACAAAAACACCGGAACAAAAACATCCAGAGGGAATATCGGGTCAGTTAATGAAGAGGGCGTGAGACGCGGAGGGATAGAATCGGTATTAAAATCATTCAAACACTTAATGGAACGCGACCGGCATCGAAGGGAAACGGAAGCTGAGTTCGAGACGAGTTACTACGCGCATCGGGACTGGCTCTCTCGAATTATCGAGGAAACTTCGACGTAATTAAACTCGCGGAAGCGCAGATAACCTAAGGCTCTGCTAAACCGGAAAAGTTAAAGTGGAAGACTGGCGCATATTAAAGCGAGCGATCCCTCTTCTTGGCTCGTGTCCCGTCCTCGTCGTCTTCGAAACTTCGAATATTTAAAACAACCTTGTCGAGTTAGTCACGAAAGATGGCCGAGGAAGAGAAAGACTGGCGGATCGATTCTACGATTTCCTTCGACGCACACTGACAAAGAGAGTGCGAGATGTTGAGATCGTCGATTTACCTCGAACTTTACATATTCACAGATTTGAATGTTCTGCTTATGGAAATATAACATTATAGAGGCTGACACGAGAGGAACTCCTCAAGTGTTACACTCACACATTTATGAAACTTTGCCACCTTATGGAGAACATTTAACGGAACATTCGTAGACCGCGTTTTCAAGATAGTTAATTGTTTGAAAGATATTGACAATTAGAGGTAATTACTGTTCCAATTTTGAAATACAACATGCTGGTACAATCATTAGCTGTGTTAAGTGATTGATTATAAATTGAAAGGTCTGCGGTTCAAATACCAGTCGTTATTATATAAATATCAAAAAAGAAACTCTGGACGATCGCAACTTCTCGTATTAAAACGACATTTCAGTTTCATAACACGTCAGCGTTGCCCTCTGGAATAAATTCTGCAGCAGCTTTTTTGTTTAACTCCCTAACCTATAATTTTCTCATTCGGAACTAACTATTATTGTCACAATGTCACAACAAATATGGAAAGTTGAAATATTAAATATACTTTGGATTTAGGGATCCTTGATTGTGCAAATTATAATTGGTATTAAACTCCAAGCTTAATCGTGTGGTAAATTTTTATTTGTCATATCTGAACTGTAATGTGTATTTCGAGTGTGATACGATATTGTAAACGAAAGGGTTGAAGTCATTTTTATACGTGTATACATTTTTATAATGTATGCTACAAATATTATTCTATACATAATTCGTTTACAACACTTCACATCGTGTCAGACATTTTAAATGATCCGAAATTGAACATTTGACATGCAACAACAGAATATCCCCAAATAGAGTTGAAACTTGAGAGATCTGTCAATACTAAAGAATGCTTCATTTCCGGTAATATAAATAGCACAAAAGTGCACATTTTGCAACAGAAAAAACGAAAATAATCTTTCTGTTGCACACTGTATGACGTTTTATCGATCGTTCAGTGATTCGCAATTCTACTCATCTCCTTCGTCACTCCTTTCTGGCGAAGTCTACGTAATTGCTATTCATTAATCAAACAGTTTCGATTAAATACACTCTATTAAATTCCACAAAAAAAAGTCAATGAGTTTACGAGGCTAATTGTCGGAATGATTTATGTATTTGCGACAACGATCGACAAACTTTAGTTCCGAAATATCTTATATCTCGATGTATTGATTATGTTGTCGTTCCTGTGCGACGATGTAGGGAGACGATAGAAACGTCATTGACAGGTTAAGTACTGTAGACACCGATATATGGTGTCTCACGAGGTATGTTATGCAAATGCAGAACATTGATTTTGGTGTAAAGGGAAGGTAATTTAATTAAAGTTTGATATAGTTCGAAATTTTTAGAGACTTTTCTATGTTTTTATATTTCTAAATTCTGTATTTAAACATCTTTTTATTTATGTTCAGTAATTTGGAACTTTTATATTTTTAAATTATACTACTTGAAACTTTTTAAATGTATAATTAACAAATTGGTACGTTGTTTAATTATCAAATGACTGAATTTCAAATATTGAGAACTTTTAAATATGAAGATTTAAAAAGCTATAAATTTGTAAACTAGTAACCTAGTAAACTTGTACATTTGTAAGTTTGTAAATTTTTAAATTTTTAAACTGCTAACTTTTCAAATTTCTAAATTTAAAAAATTGGGACTTCTTAATTTCAATCCTCTGGTATTTGAAAATTACTGAATATAAGTACTTCGCAGCCTAAGAACATAGAAATTCGTGCATATAAGAAAATTTCTATATTTGTAAATTTGTAGTCATAAAAATTTCCAAATTCATAATTTTTGAAATGTAAAATATGTTATTCTTATATTTTCAAATTTCAAGCTCTTCGAAAACAGCCTATGTCGAAAGCAAATGAAAATGAAAACGAATGTGACCAAATTGAAAAAATAGTAGAAATTAAGTAAAAATGATGTCTGTGAACCTAAATGTAATAATAGTAAAAAAGAAATGTACTACATAAGAGACTTCTTTGGAGGTGCTGATATGATTAATTATTTTACAGGTATAAATTTTTATTTTTGGAACGAAGTTAAGGAATAAATTCATTTCATCAGTCTTGTAAATATTTTATATCATTGCAAATGGCACACATACATATAGAATACTGAAATAATAAACACAGTACATTATTTATTACACGTGAAATTCGAAACGATTTTTTTACTAAACATTAATCAAATACCTCAGATGGACTTTTGTTGTAGATATGTTCATTAAAATTAAGTTTAATTTAATAGTTGAAAATATATTTGTTTGTCACATTTAACATTAGATTTTATTTGTCAATAAAATTGTTGGTGTAACTATTTTTAAAAATTTAACTTGTTTCCGTTAAAGAAATTATAATCCTGCATTTAATTCTTTCGTCCCGTTTTTGATTTACTATATACGTATACATATATTTTAATGTATCAAGTTGTTGCATGTCAAATAACAAATTTCAACACATATCTAACAAAGTTTGATAACACGAAAATTCACAAGTACTAGTTCTTATACAACCGTATTCCATATTTTAATGATTTTCTTATTAAAATTAATGGTTAACGAATAAATTAAAACCGAAAACCCCAAATTTTTTTTATTAAATTCGTTCTCCGTAAAGTACATCAATATTCAATAACCATTTTTGTGCTTAAAAATATGAACAAGTGTTAGAAGCATGCATTAAAAATGTGACAAATTCTCTCCAGTTTATTGAGCAATTAACAATCCACCAGCAATTAATATTCTCCACGTAAAATGAAATTCCGATATAAACGTGATATAAAATAAAGACACATTAATTATTATATTATTCGATATAATTACTTTCATTAAACAATTAAAACGAATAACTGAAAATTGCAGTGTATCTGCATTGTCTTTGTTTCCGTTTATTTAATTCGAAATCCAAAAATCAAGTTCCTTTGATTTTATCGTTTTGTTCAAAGAACACAGACCTTTTTAATCGATAATTTTTAATATATAACTAATTAAACGATCATACTGGCAGCCGCTTTAGAGAATGGCTTTTTCAATAAAAATAATTTATAAAACGGTGAACCCTGCTACAGAATTTTTGCAGTACTATGTGGTCTTAAATTGTACAAAAATTAGTTAACCATAGTTCTTTAAATATCTATTTTGTAGTTGATGTTTTGACAAAAACGATGATGCAGTTATGATCGAAATGTAAAACTGTCAAGACTTTTTTCTTAGAGATCAAAAGTGATACTTTGTTGCCTAATATTTGTTATCAGTATATAGTTTTTAATGTGAGCTCCATTAATTAGTAATTCATTTGTTCGAGCAACGCGAAAATATCCAGTAATATTAGAAAAAGAAACTTTCAGGGTGAGTTAATAAAAATTGCTATCCTTATTTTCGATAACAATGATGGGCAAAATATGTACAGATCTTAAAGTTTCATGCTTCCCAATTTAGAAACAACAATTTATCATCAGAATTTATCATCAAAACCTTTATTTTCAATACAAAAGACCAGTATATGAAAAATGAAATCATATTCACATTTAATAGTAGATAAAATGAAACCAAATATACAAATACTAGTTACTGTTAAGCAAACAAAAGCATCAAATTAAATTAAATCATTTCAAATAATTAAATTAAAAACTGTACATGATCATTCATCTTTTGTGTACAGTTATTCTCGGTTAGGGACCTTTACTTCGCTATACTAAAACATTTACTATTTCAAGTAAACAGCAAAAACTTGAATTTCTGATGGAATTACGAAAGAGTAGAGAACTTCAAAAGATATTCAAGATAGTATTTACTGACTTACTGACAGTACTCAATTACGAAAAAAAATATAAAACCACTGATTTAGAAGATATTTAAAATGATTTACCATTACAATTCCGAAAAGAGAACCACCAGTTCTAATATTGATAACAGCAATATGATATTATGGTACTAATAGTAGGTTAATAAACAACCTAATTTGTGGTAGTTAAACAATTAAAGTCGATTTATAGGAAGAAAGAGTATAACTTACGTTCTGGTTATTACGCTGATTGTAAGCATCCATTGCCATCTGCTTGAAGTCCGCCATGGTAGGTGGGTTGTTATAAGTGTTCGTCTGAGAAACGTGGTTCTGTGGATAACTTATGGTCGGGGTTGGTAGGCAATCCGTCAACATCGGATCTGGTGGAAGATCTAAACCGTGTTGTACGATCGGCCTTTTCTCCGGTGAAATCGCCTCGTCCATGACTCGATCCTTCTTTCTTCGTTGCGGGGGTGTCTTGTATATCGGGGTGTACGTTAGGGGTCTTCTCTCTGCGAATAGATTCAACGAAGCCATGCAAACTTCCATATCCACTAAGCAGATTACTCGATTAAATCTAGAGAATAGCGGGCTCTTTACGAGAACAATAGTTCCCCCTCCTGTTCCTAGGCAATACTGTTTTAATTCAAACTCACTGGATTTGTGAAAAAGTATTACTATGTCAGCAACTGAATGGAAAATTTGTCTATAAAGGAAGATAAATTTTTGAATATTTACTAGTAGTATGCATACAAATTTACGAATAGTTATAATGACATTTTTATCTATATTAGAGCTGTTCTTTTTGAAAGTGTCACTGAAAAAAATAGTTACTGATAATTTTAATTAAATATAGATTTTTTGTTCATATTAAACTAGTGGTTAAGGTACTGATATACTGTATATTCATAAATTAGTCAAACGGTGTCTAATAAAATATATGAATAGAATCTTTATATTAATATCGAACAATGATGACAGAATATTAGAATTAATACCAATGACACTCACCCTGAACATTTGTAATTTTGAAATAATATTTCTGTTGATTTTATTCATTTAATTTTCGATCTCAAGCGTTGAACACAAATAACGATTTGTATGTGTCAGTGTGCTGTTTAAATTTAAACAGCGGCTACAATCAATTGATAATTCAACAATAATTAGAATGGGTATACAAATGCTCAGTGAGATGTTCCATAAGGTAACAATGTTTCATGAATTAGTGTAATACTCGCTTTCTCCTCGTAAATACTGTATTATTATTTTGAATGCGGATATTATGTCAGCTTGTCAGCAATAATATATTATTATCAGCTTGTCTATAAAAGCTATTGTATATTAAATAAAGTTTAACGTAATTTTTGACAGGAATATTTGAAACATTGGAATAGAAAAATTTTAATTAAAGAGTAATACCTAGGCATACAATGTGCTCGTGACAAACGGATAATTACTTTTATGAGGTATGAAGTAAGGAATATAATACGAGCAACAAAAAATTGCTTTATCTCCTTCATTCTATACGACTCTTTCTCGATTTATATTCCGTGTCAAAGCTTTCAATCTATACTGTATCCACGTTCGTTCACATTAATGCTGAGATAATAACGCAGAAGTTTAATGAACACGCGTTGATCACTGTTCATTGTGGATAAAGGCATCGCGTTTCCGATCTATTAATGTGTACTGAAGCGTATAAATTTAACCTGACAATGCATTTCGAAATTCACTGCTAGGCGACGTGGAAATATCACCGATGGAAAAAGAATAATGAAGCTTTTGCTATTAATATCCGCAGGAATTTAAATGAAGATAGATAACGGTATAGCATTGCATCGTTCAGTAACTATTTCCTTTCCATCAACGTTTTTATATCAAGATCGACTCACTCAAGCATTTTGAAGTTCAATTTTGCAAGTAATTGCAAGGAATTTTTCATATTTGGAAAGTAAAGACATGTGTGAGTTGCTTAAATGTCCACTAACTTTGCTATTAACAACTCGGTATTATTGAGTGACTGGTATTTTTATTCGGATATGAAATAATTCAAGAACTAAGTAATCTAGTTATGTATTTCAGTATTCTGAGATCCTTCTTAAATTAAACGATACAATTAATGATTAACCAAATAATAAATGTGTTAAAATGAATGGAAAGAGCAATTGCAAAGAATGGAGGAGAGACAAAATGGAATTTAATTATTATTTAATTTTTATGCGAATCTTGTGATAGATATCGGATACTTGTGTGCAATTTAGGCGTACTTTGAATTAGGATGACTTTGGGGAGAACAAACTTTTATTATTTGCTCTGTGGGATTAAGTTTTCAAAATCTTTAATTACAAGTTTTACAAACTCAAAAATTCTGATATATTCATACACGTATACTTTTAAATTTCCGAAGTTCTAAAGATTCAGATTTCAAAATTACGATATTCACAAATATACTAATTTTCAGATATTGATTACAAATTTTTTATTGATGGCGTTCCTATATTCTCTAATTTCCAAATTTGTTAACTTTCGAACTCACAAATTCATATATTATTGAATTATTAAATTGCGGAAGTTGTAAATCTCTAAATTTCTGAATCTCTAGACTCGGGAACCTATAAACTTTTGAACCTCTAAACTTCTGAATCACCAAACTTTTGAATCTCGAAACTTATGTATCTCTAAACTCGTGAATCACTAAACTTCTGAATCACTAAACTTTTGAATCTTGAAACTTATGTATCTCTAAACTCGTGAATCTCTAAACTTCTGAATTATTTAACTTCTGAACCTCTAAACTCTTGAATCTCTCAACTCATGAATCTCTAAACTTTTGAATCTCTAAACTGTTGGTAGGGTAGACAAATAACTCTATACACACTTGTACTCTCATTAACGCATAATATATATTGACTACATAGTGATCGCATGCACGAGTCGCAATTGAATGGACGAGCTCGGAAATTGGCGGCGCGACGTCCTGTAGAAACACAAAAAAAGATCGGCCTGGATTGCCAACTTTTGCAATATTTTTTGCATTATTTCACCACTGGAAATACTACATTACCAACATAAACTTCTGAATTCCTAAATCCCTACATTTGTAATGCTCTAAATTCCTAACCCCAAAATTTTTAAATCTCTTTTGTAAATCTCTAACTTTTTCAATATCTAAATTTCGATATCTCTAACTTTCTAAATTTCTAAATTTCTAAATTTCTAAATTTCTAAATTTCTAAATTTCTAAATTTCTAAATTTCTAAATTTCTAAATTTTTAAATATTCAAATCTTTCAAATCTAAATCTTCAAATTTTACATTTCCGAAATCATTATACCTTCAAATTTTACATTCTCCAAATTATTAGGTCGTCAAATTTTAGAATTTTCAAACTTGCAATTTCTTTAATTCCTAAATTTCCTGTTCACATTTGTATACTTCCAAATTATCGAATCACCAAATTTTCAAAATTCCAAGCATCATACTATTCAAATTTCTTAAAAACAAAGTCGTATATGAAAAAGCATTACTTTTTCTATTTATTTTACCTGTAGAATGACAACTCAGTCATATTGACAACTATTTTTGGAACAGTCTGCATACGACATCTCCACAAACCAAAACCTATATAATCTCGTTTGAAACTACAGTCCCTAGTCATCTAATTAAGAGCACGTACGAAAATTTCCTTTTTATGGCTATAATATTATGACATATGTAGAAAATCGTTTTAGATCATGCAAAGTTATTACTACATACGTTAATAACGATATACAGGGTGTCCCGCAATTACTATAAGAACCGAAAAGGGGTGGTAGGTGGGGCGATTCTGAACAGCTTTTTCCTTTGCCAAAATATCAGTTGAAGCTCTCATTGGTTCAGTGTTTTTTGCTAATAACTTGAAAATGATGCCTTAACGAATATTTTGGCAAAGGAAAAACTGTGGATGATGAACGATTAACGGTCGTGCAAGCGTTTATGTTAGGCTCCAGTATCCATAGCGCATGAGGCAAAATTTAGTAAATGCCATAGAAAATGTCTGGAACCTACTCAAAAAATTAGTTTACAACTCTCTAACCACATTATCTGAGTTAAAATGAATTACAGACATTTGGGAAATAACGAAGATGAAAATATGATTAATGTATACAGAGCGTACTGGATACCAGCTGTGACCAAAGCAAAGGGTGGAAATACAAAATGTTAACATGTGTTAATTATGTTATGTATAATTGTAGTGTGTCATGTTAGTAGCTAATAAATTATATCATAACAAATTAAACAGGTCTGTTAATTTTACAGAAAATGTGTAAAATGCTGAAAATAGTGGTCTTAATTAGATAGCCAGGGAACATATATTACAAAGTTATTGCAAAACTTACTTTACTTTCACAAATTTTATAAGTATTATACTTTATTAAACGCCAGTGTACATATAAAACTACAATTGTAAATCTTTAAAACGATATGTCCCAATTTTAATCCACAAAACAAAGAAACAAAACAAGTATAGAACAATTCAAGGAACAAAACATGTATAAAATTGCACTGTTGCAAAGCACGTACACATATAAATCGCGTGTAATCGGCCGGCAAATGTTCCATTTACATGAATCGTAACCATCGATCGGGTCAAAGAGGTGTAATTAAACAACCAGTGAAGTCATAAATAACTAAAGGAAAGGATTAAAATATCGCAAGCCGATATTCAAGCAGCTCTGCCCAGTAAAACAATGAATAGTAATTATATACGAAAGCTATGCGCAATGTACGTACTCATTATACCTTATACTCTTGCTTGAAAGTTTAAAAAAGATTACCATTTTGACAACTTTTAATTAATTTGTTAATGAATTATTTATGTAAAGTAGTATAAAAATTATTTATATGATTTATTTATGCAAAGATTTATATAGCTTCATATAGCTTCATAAAGCATTATAGAAATATTACAAAAGTCAATAGTTGCTGTATTTATATCTTGGAGTTAAATACAAGGAGTAGGATTTAATATTCCACTGCATTATTATTATTTCTGAACTACTTCTTAATCATTTTGCTGTCATAGATTTTCATTGGCTGTGACCAATAAATTCGCATAGCAGATTTAATTATTTTTAATATACATATAGTAATATCATAACTCTCAAAGATCAGAATTCAATGTTGCAGAAATTAAATTAAACACATGGAAATCTGTGAATTTGATAATTTGCAAAGCTGACAATTTAGGAATGCGAGAATACAAAGATAACATAATTTAGGAAATATGAAAATTAACCCTTTACACTCGGAAAGTTTATTTTGTCGTTCAAAATGTCCCCTCAGAGGGGACAGCCGAGTGCAAAGGGTTAAAAAATATGAACATCTGCTAAATATCGAATTACAATACTTTGGAATTGAAAGCTTCTTGACTTACGGTCTTAAAGATTTAGGTATTTATGAATGTGGAAATTTAAATACTTGGAAAATTGGAAAATTTTACAAATTGGCGATTTGAAAATTTCGAAACTTGCGAATTTAAAGATTTGGAAATTAGGAAATTAGAAAATTTAAAAATTTATAATTTGTGAAATTTGCGTATTTTATGATTAGAATATTGCAACTTTGAAAAATCTCTGAATTGGAGAAATTAGAACTTCAAGAACTTAAAACTTTTCTAATATGGAAAGTGTATCTGATATGTGAAAAAATTGGGAGTTTGAGAAATTTCTAATTTTCGATTGTTGAAACTTGGAAAACTTGAATTTGATGTTCGCTCCTTTGTAACATACCATGTATAAAGTATTATAGCAATCGTTACTGTGATAACGCTATAGAGTTTGCGTCACGCGATTAAGACGGATTATATCGCAAATTTGGTAAGACGTACGAAAAATCTGTCAAAGAAATACAAGAATATTATAATAATATCTACTTTTCTATGCATAAGATCGTATGTTAGATATTACACAAAATATTAATTTTTCAAACATTGCACTTCAGAATTTTTCACACAAAATAAATCCAAGGAATTGATATTAGTATAAAAAAAGTATACAATTCCATTTGAGAAAAAAAGTACAGTGGTATTTTTCGTATGTATCGTTGCATTCGTCAGGAAAGGAAGTCATAAAAAAATAAATACCACTATTCAACTTTTCCTTGACAGTTTTATTCTATCTCTTACCAAATCAAATTCTATACAGAGTGAAACATTAAAAAGGGGAACGCCTAAATATTTTCAATGTTATTATTAGCACTTTCTCTTTTGAAATAAGTTGTACTATTTCCAAAAATAAATTCATTGACAAAAGATTTTTCCCTAAGGTACCATTTTGACCAGACTTTGCGAGCGCATTGGCGCACAGCCAGCACTTCGTGACTGAACCCTCGCTTATACAATAATAATAAAAAAACTAAGCTTCAACACCTTAACACTATGGTGGTCATATGTGACTGACGCAGCAAATTTAGATCAATTATTTGTTGGAAAATCAAACGAAGGAAACCATTTGAGGTTTTCAGCACGTTGACTGTCGTAGTAAAAACTCACGTTTGAAATCAAACACATTATAATACAGATCATTGAAAAGAGGGATACTTGATCTTCCAATTTCGTTAAGTAACCTATCAGTGTATAATGCTGTTTCAACATTAATTTCATTGAATTTGCAATGCTAATCACACATGTAACATATAACATAAGAATAAGGGTACTTAGTCTTCAAGCTTCATCTTTCAATTTGTCAGTGCAAATCATTATTTAAGAGTATTCGAAATATCCTTTCGTTCGATTTCTTTATCAGTAAATAATTTAACTGAATTTTCAGACTTGGTCACATATGGCACATATGAAATAATAAAGGTACTTAGTTTTTCACTTTCACATTTCAATCTGTCAGCATATCTGACTATCTTAATATTAAGAGTGTTAAAAAGTTCTTTTCATTTACTTTTTCTGCAAATAATTAATTTAATTAAATTTTCAGTCCTGGCCAAATATAGCACATATGAAATAATAATATAGACACTTAATTTTTCAATTTCATCTTTCAATCTGTCCATATATCTCAAAATCTCAATATTAATAGTCTTAAACAGCTTCGTTCATGTACTTTCTCTGCAAACAATTAATTTAATTAAATCTACAGAGCTGGTCACATATCTCACATATAAAAAAACAACAAAGACACCTAATTTTTCAATTTCATCTTTCGATCTCACTATCCCAACATTAATAGTCTTAAACAGTTTCTTTCACTTACTTTCTCTGCAAACAATTAATCTAATTAAATCTACAGAGCTGGTCACATATAAAAGAACAAAGGCACCTAATTTTTCAACTTCATCTTACAATCTGTCTGTATTTCACTATCTCAACATGAATGTTCTTAAAAAGTTCCTTTAATTTACTATCCCTACAAATAATTAATTTAACTAAATTTACAGCGTTCACATATGTACACCCTGAAAGTCAACGTGTCAATCAATATTATAGCATGTCCAATCATAAACGTCAGTTTTCATCACGACGATCATGTCAATATTTCAGTAAGGTAAAAACTTGTCATTACTCAAACTACCAATTATGTGTACCTATAATCGACAATCCAGTACAATCCGCTCCAATTATATGAGGCACCCTATACATTCGGTGTATTCATGGTATTTGTGTGTATGCGTGTAGAGCGTAATTTGGCACACGTTTGAAACAATCGGAAACCCGTAGACTCACCATACTCGTTGGGTATGATGTCCGGATCGATGTCATCGACCGCCTGCTTGGTCTGAGGGTGCACCGGGGTAGTTGCACCTGCATTAGGTGGCTCGCACACGATGGGAGCGTGCTTCGGACTTCCGGGCCGGCCGTTTGAGTGCTTCCGGTAGAGCGCCGCCAGGATTCCAGCTACGGCCAGGGCCAAAAGGGTCGCTGTTGCTGCCAGGCCCAACACCAATGGGCTGAGAGTAGACGCGTTCGTGGTGCCTGTCACAGTACCAATGCAAAATGCTCGATCAACCGGAACTTCTATCGAGCTACCTATCTGCTCTGCCTTCCTCTGTTTTGTCCCTGCTTCCCCGATTATTGCGGCAAGTATATTTTTACCCTTCGCTTGCCCCACCCTCCCTTCCCACGAACGTTTGCACTATCGAGGCTCCAATTTCGACCGGGCGCCGCTGTTGAATTTATTGTTCGCTCGGCATTGTTTCCTTTCACGCTTAACTTCGAACGGGTTACAATCGCTGATAGGAATAATGAGAATCGCGGAAATTGGGCTTTAGAAGTATGGAAATTCTGGTCTTTAGGACATCCATGAATTTTGGAGATATGAACATTGAGAATTTAGGATGTTGCAGTTCTGCAGTTTGTGAAATTTCGGGAATAGTAAAGTGAGTTTTAGAGATTTTAGAGCATGCGAAAATTTGAGAGGTCGAATCCCCTTTTCACGCAATTATCTACGCAATCGATAGAGCGGAGTAATGAGAGTCGAGGAAATTGGGATTTAGAAATATGAAAATTCTGGTCTTTAGGACATCCATGAATTTTGGAGATACGAACATTGAGAATTTAAGATGTTGGAATTCTGGAATTGGCAAAATTTCAAGGATTCTAAAGCGAGCTTTAGAGATTTTAAGTATTAGATTATTTGAAAATGTGAGGGTTGGAATCCCTATTTTTACACAATTACCAGGAGATTTTGGGTTTACACAAATTTGGAAAAATGGAAATTTGAAAACTTAAAAATTTTTAATTTTTAATTTTAGAATTTAGGGGTGCAGATATTTGGAAATTGAGAATTTAAGTATTTGGAAATTTGGGAATTTTGAAGTTTGAGAATTTGGGAATTTTAGAATTTTGGAATTTTTGGAATTTTTGAAATTTTTAGAATTTTTGGAATTTTTGGAATTTTTAGAATTTTTGGAATTTTGAAATTTTTTGATTTTTGGAATTTTGGAATTTTGGAATTTTGAAATTTTGGAGTTCGAGAATTTCGAAAATTGGTAATTTGATAATTTTATAATTGTAAAATTTTGAGTAGTAAGAATTTGAAAATTTGAAAATTTGAGAATTTGAGAATTTGTGACTTTAGTAGAATTTAAAAATGTAGTTATTTGAAACATGAGAATTTAGAGGTTTCAAAGTTTAAAAATTTGATATTTTTAAGTTTTAGAAAATTTCAAGAACTTTAAAGTGTTTCAGAAATAAATAATCTGGCAATTTCCGTATTCGAGTATTTGAAAATTTGGAAATTAGGATCTCCTTTCTACTCGATCATTTGCGCTATAAAGACTCCAATTTCGCCCGAACGTCGCTGTTAAATTTATTGTTCACCAGGCATTGTTTCCTTTCGCTCTAAACTTTGAACAGGTAATGTCCGTTATTCGAGCGGGATGCCATTTCGTTTTCAAAGTATTTGCCGTTAATTGCACGTGAAAATATTTATTATAAACACAATTGTTACTGATATCGTTCCTTACTTTCAGAAACTATAATTAGATAACACTATAAAGACAGTATTATGAGAAATAAAACTGTCCCAGTTTTGTACCGTTATGTGTTAATAATACATTGTATTCGTAAAAATAAAGAAAAGAATGTTTTATGAACATGGAATTCCAAATAATTCATTAAAAAGTTACAATACAAACACGAAATGATAACAGAATTTTCTGTCATTCGATATCACCGAGTGTATCAATTTTTACCGTATAACTTTATTAACATGCACTTTAAATAAAAGTAAGAAAAAATGATTATATGAACATGGATCATTGAATGCATTAAAAGTTATTTTAAAAAATAAAAATTTGAAAGTTGAAAATATGAAAGTTATTCGTATGGAGTATTGAGAAAGAATCGTTCATTATTATTTGGTGTACTTCTCATTACTTCTCATTATAACATTTAAGAACCCGCATTTATGTAGCATTATTTTATAATTTTCATTTATAGAACATGCTGATAAAGTTTTACGTACAAAGCTGAGACATGCTGTGTGTGTCACAAAACAGTTCAAACTCATTCGGTTTTGTTATAACTTTTTAATAAAGTATTTTAAACTCTATATTAATATAAAATCTTTCTTATTTTTACGTATGAAATGTTAGTAAACTTTGGCGATGAAAAACTATGACGTCCTGTATGTAGAACGGATTATAAAATCAGTAGATACGGTCAACCACTGCTCAGACCAATAGGACTGAATTACATTCTTGACTCTTATTACTGAAAAATCGCTCATACATTTTTGCTCATACATTTTGCAAAAAGCAGATTATATGCTTTCTAATATAGATATAAATTATAGTTTGTCTAAAATAACATTTCACAATTTGTTTCTGTTCCGAACGTGCGACGGAACACAATACGCGAGGATTTCGTAGGTAGTTTATGATGGGTCCGGGTCCAACAGTTATTTTTGAAAGACAGATTTTTAGCCATCGACGGCAATTTAGTTTACATTTTTTCGAACAATGCCTTTAGAATTTCTAAGTTTCATTTAGTCTTCAATAACTACTCCGTCATAAACAGGGTTTTTCCCGAAGGGTCACCGAGGATGGGCCTCGGTTCCGTCCTAGCGGTACTTTTTAGGACAACGTGCGTGTC